TTTCAGGTATCATTATGTCAACCTGGCCCAGAACGATTTAATTTTGCCTTTCCTAGTAAACAAGCAAGACTTTCACACGACTCTCTCTGCCATCGCTTTGATGTTTCACAACCACCCTTGATATTCTTTTGCTTCTAAAGATCTGACCTATATTCCATTTAATGTTTCACACAGATTTACCCAGCTTCATGCTGCCACCATCAGATGGACGTGTCCTTGGTCCCACCAAGCCCTCCAGCTTTGCTTCACTGTGTGTGGCAGAGCAGTTGAGAGAATGTTCTTGGCCACAAGTAGGACACAGACAAATGGTAAGATGACAAGAGGAAATGGCCTCAGACTGCACCAGTGGAGGTTCAGGTTGGACATCAGGAGGAATTTACTCATGGAAAGGCTTGTCAAGCATTGGAATGGGCTGCCCAAGGGAAGTGGTGGAGTCTCCATTCCTGAAGGCATTTAAGAAAAGACTGGACAGGTCAGAGATGCAATCGGGAACTCAGGACAAGGAGAAATGGCTTTAAGCTGAAGCAAGGTAGATTTAAATTGGATATTGGGAAGAAATTCTTCCCTGGGAGGATGGGGAGGCCCTGGCACAGGTTGCCCAGAGAAGTTGTGTCTTCCCCATCCCTGAAAGTGTCCAAGGCCAGGTTGGACGGGGCCTGGAGCAACCTGGGCTAGGGGAAGGTGTCCCTACCCATTGCAGGGAATGAGATAGTCTTCAAGGTCCTTTCCAACCCAAACCATTCTATGATTCTCTGGGCAATGGGTGTCTTGCAGGGCTGTCAGGTCATGACTTTTCCCACCCCACGTCTGCCCTTGTTGCATCTTCCTTTGCCCTCCCAGCTCTTCCCTCCTTTGCCTGGGATTGCACTTGCTCTTTCTCTGCTCCTCCTGGTGGCACTGATGAAAAGCAGGATTGAACTGTGTGTTTTACCCTCAACTTTTCCTGTTAACAGCATAAAACCAACAAGTTTCAGTTCAGCACTGAAGTCCAGACTTTTCTTTCTTTTCTGGTTCAAGTCTCCAGCTTTAACCTGATGCAGAGTTGAAGCTTTACAGCAGAAGATTCTTTCTTTGTGGCTGAAAAATCACATAGAACAAAGACCTGAGCTTGGAACGAGCTTTCTTGAGCATGAAAACTCTTGGAGACTGGATAAAATGATAATTTCCCTCTCTGTGGACTTCCAAGCATTTTGGGAAGGTCGAAGTATCCTTTTCTCTCCTTCCTCCTTTGAAGTGATAACCTTATTTATCCTCATGTAACTTGAGAGGAAATTGAGGCACTGATTCATTAAAAAAACAAGATAAAACCAGATATTTATATAAAGAACCAAGTAGGCAGAATTTTGACATTTATATGCAAGAATCTTTTTTAAAAAAGGCTTGTTTGACTTGTCTGTTAGCTTGAAATGTCTTGGTCCTTACATTCTGGTGTCTACAGCTCATTATTCACCTAATCCTGAGCTAATGAGAAGTGAAAGCACCAACCACAGTAGATGAGACCCAGATGAAATGGTCTTGCCGTGCCAATAAATCTGTGCTTCATGAGGCATTTGAACTTCCAAGGGATGGCACAGAGGAACAGCTGTGACTGCACAGTCAGCTGTCATGTGACCAGCTCATAAAAGACCGAAAAGACCTTTGTTGTCACACATATTGAACTTTCTGGTGGGGAAAAAAAAAAAAAGAAAGCTCATTTCTAGAGGAAGGGAGTTCAAAACAACAAACTTTAGTCTCAAACTCGATTTTTTTTTTTATTTATCTTGGTTGCAAGAGACAAAATTCAAAGAAAATGTCACTTGTGAATGAAAGGAAAAAGAAAAGGTTGCCTTTTCCTCTTGTGGCATTAAAATATCATAACCTAACTCAGTTTAATAGACACAGCAACCAAAATATCTCTGTTAAATTACTAATGAAATGACTAATTAAAAAGGGGGGTTTCAGACAAGCTGGAGACAGGAGGTCACCTGTCTGGGGACAGATAATCTCAATGTCCTGATGCCAAGCAAGAAATCTTGGGAGAGGTGTCTGCCTCACTACCCTGGGATTTGTTGGGGTGTCTGACCCACACCAGTCTGTTGGCAGCTCTTTCCTTTCCTTTTTCCATGTATTTTCATGACCACTGCATTGTCACTTCCATGGAGAAGAGGATGGTCCATGGATGATCATTAACTGCAGGAATTAATTGTTGTGCTGGAAAGCAGGAGGCAGGAGGGCTCAGGAGGTGGGTCTTAAACCAAATGTAAGTGGTGAACATGGGATCAAGGGTTTCAGGGGGGATGAAAAGGTCAGTCCATGTCCTGAGATCCTCAAACACCATCCTGAGAGGCTCAACATTGCTCAGCAATGAGTATTGGCAGACCAGATACCAACTGGATCCTGGGAAGAAGCACAACCAGCAGGTTGAGGGAGGTGATTCTGCCTCTCTACTCTGCTCTTGTGAGAACCCACCTAGAGAAATGTCCAGCTCAGGGGTCCTCAACACAAGAAAGATGTGGAAGTGTTGGAAGAAGTCCAGAGGAGGCCATGGAGATGCTGCAAGGGCTGGAGCCCCTCTGCTCTGGAGCCAGACTGGGAGAGCTGGGGGGGTTCACCTGGAGAAGAGAAGGCTCCAGGGAGACCTTGGAGCCCCTTCCAGTGCCTAAAGGGGCTCCAAGAGAGCTGGAGAGGGTCTTGGGACAAGGGATGGAGTGACAGGAGAAGGGGGAATGGCTTCAAACTGGCACGGGGCAGGGTTAGATGGGATATTCAGAAGAAATTCTATCCTATAAGAATGGTGAGGCCCTAGCACAGGTTGTCCAGAGGGGTTGGGGACTCCCCATCCCTGGAAGTGTTCAAGGTCAGGATGGATGGGGCTGTGAGCAACCTGGGATACTGAAAGGTGTCCCTGCCCACGGCAGGGGGTTGGAATGAGATGATTTTAAGGTCCCTTCCAACCCAAACCATTGCATGATTCTATGAAAATATTTTGCAACTCCCACCAGCATTTCTTAGTGCTTTAAAGTATAAATTTAAGAAATGGTTAAAATTGTTAGTCTTAAAGATAGAGGTGTACTAATAAAAACATCCAAACAAAAAACCCCAAAGGAAATATTACAATAAGGGGAAGTCTCCCAAAACAGGGCTATAGGAAGGAGCATTTCTTGAATGAGTAACAGGGATTAATCCTATAGTTTCTCTGCCCATTTTCAGCCCCTAATTTTATCATTGTCTTGGGCTGGCTTGAAAAAACAAATCTCTCAGCAAGTTATATTGCCATGAACGTGTCTGTCACCCAACTGCCACCCAACTGCCATCCCTGTGATATCCAAAGGGTGCCCAAGGGATGGGACACAAACCTTGCGAGATGTGGTGAGATGTCATGAGCAGTAACTGGAGCAAGGGACGTGTGGACATGAGGGGAAACACCTTGCAGGTCACTGCATAGGTGGGGATGGAGTTGAGCTTCCCTTTAATGGAGAATTTCAGGAAAAGTTTGTGCTAAAATCTCTCACGCTGGATTGGAAAGCACTGAAGTGCAAGGTTGACCCTTCGGTTTTTGTTTGCCTTTAAAGTAAAAAACAAGCTTTGCAGTGAAATCAGGAGTTGGCCTGTAAGACATTGATGATTTACTCATTAGTCTGTAATTTACACTTAATTTGCTGTGGCTGAAGCCCCTTCTCTGGGTTCTTCCTTGCCTTATTTCTGTGGCAAGTTGAAATGATAAAGAAGAAAAATAACCTGTATTTACAAATGACTCACAGGGCAGTTATGAGCATTAACCACATGTAAAAAACTAGGGAAAGTTGGGTTGTATGGGATGAACCTGCAGGAAAAGTGGGAAACTACAGAATCTTTGAAAAGGTTGGTATTTGCACTGTGTGTGCATGTGTTTATTCTATATATATGTGTGCCCGTGTGTATAAAATGTGTGTGCATATAGGTATATATTGGAACCAATAAGCTAAAGTCTAAACTTCTTCCCATTTCTGAAAGTAAAAATCAGCTGATTTACAAATATCTGGTCTAGGATGAGTCTGAGTTCTCAGATTTGGGTTTTCTGGTTGCCGTGTCACGCAAAAGATAAACTGTGAATGTTCACACCTAAGTTTCAGCTCCAGTCAAATCCTAAAGGATGGAATATTAAATTCCTGGGTTGCAAATGCACTTATTAGTGGGACTGACAAGTTTGCAAAGCTTTGTGAAAAAGGTGGATGTGATGCTTTTTCATTGGATCAGGAGAGAGCATTGTAATGAAAGCAAAGTTCTTATACAAGCTGGGAGCTTGTTGGGAATGTCACAAACTCTCACTCAGGAAAGATGGATTCAACACGGAATCCATGAAGGAAAAGCAAGGACTTCCAGAAGTAAGAAGAGATTCTTTAAATAGAAAAGACTAGAAGAGTTTGGCTTGAGCTGGAAGCTGAGTAGGAGTTGTGCCTGGTCTCCAGACTCTGCCTCTAGACAGGCAGCAGGAAGGAGGAACTATTATTTCAGCTGCAGGATAAAGCTGGCACTGGGACAAAGAGCTAAAAACTCATCTCAGATGAATGTTGGTTGGAAAGGCAAAACATTTCTAAGCATTAAAGCCAAAGGAGGGTTTGAAACAGCCTCCCAAAACAGCCAACAGGGTTGGGGTGAGGTGAGATTCATGCTGGGGCAGGACTATGAAGAAGTCACGGAGTTGAAGGTTCAGGAGACTCTGTCTGGTGATTCATCAGTCTGAGAAAACACCTTGGCAAGTAAAGCTAAAAGAGGAGACTTTCAGGTTAGATATTAGGAAGAAATTCTTCCCTGGGAGGGTGGGGAGGGCCTGGCACAGGTTGCCCAGAGAAGCTGTGGCTGCCCCATCCCTGGAAGTGTCAAGGCCAGGTTGGACGGGGCTTGGAGTAACCTGGGCTAGTGGGAGGTGTCCCTGCCCATGGCAGAGGGTTGGAACTAAGTGATCTTTAAGGTCTCTTCCAACCCAAACCATTCTGTGATTCCATGTTTCTATGACTCTATGGTTCTATGGTTCTATGATTCTTGTTCTGTCCTTCTCACACGTTTTCCCATCCTGCCCCCATGTACTTCCACCAGATCTACACAACTGGAAATTCAGGTATCAGGAAAAAATTCTTCCCTGTGAGGGTGGTGGGGCCCTGGCACAGATTGCCCAGAGAAGCTGTGGCTGCCCCATCCCTGGCAGTGTCCAAGGCCAGGTTGGACAGGGCTTGGAGCAACCTGGTCCAGTGGAAGGTGTCCCTGCCCATGGCAGGGGGTTGGAACTGCATGATCTTGAAGGTCCCTTTCAATCCAAACCATTCTATGATCTAAGTCAAATCACTCTCCAAATGCACTGGATGAACCTCGAGGATTTGGGAATTCTCTCTTGTATCATTCCTGCTTTCTGGTCTTGTTCCACAATGACATGAATCCTTCCCCAGAGCTGTCTCCATTTCAGTTCTAGGTGGGTACGTGTGTCAGGAATTTCCTTTGCAAAATGTCCTGGAGATGTAATAGTAGAGATTATTTCCCCACCCTCCCAGGCTGGAATTCCTTCCCAATATCCCATCTATCCCTACCCTCTGGCAGTGGGAAGCCATTCCTTGTGTCCTGTCACTCCATCTCTTGTCCCAAGTCCCTCTCCAGCTCTCTGGGAGCATCTTTAGGCACTGGAAGGGGCTCAAAGGCCTTCCTGGAGCCTTCTCTTCTTCAGGCTGAACACTCTCAGCTCTCCCAGCCTGGGTCCATGGGATTGGTTGGTTAAGACTGTGCAAAAGCTGGAAAAGTAAAATCTGGATGATCCAAAAATCAGGTGGAAGGAGCAAGAGTCACTCCCTGTGGGAAAAACCTGAGTAATTTGGTTGTCATTTTTTTTTCTGGGCAACAATTACATCCACTGCTTGCATTCAAAAACGTGTTTGTGGGGAGAAGAACATTTCCATTGCTGTATCCATTTGTTGTTTCCTGAGGGGAAAAAAAAAAAAAGGTTATGGATAGAGGTTTTCATAGCCCAAAGCTTTGCTTTCATCATCTTGACATAGGGAAGAGAGAGATGTTTGACCTGTTTTCCTTTTTAGGGTGTGTATCTGGGGGGATGGATGAACAACTCTTGGACTGTGGGATAGAATATCCACCATGATGAGGCCTTTTTTTTTCCAAACACTGCAGGAAGTTGTGGGATATTCCCTATTTGCAAACAAGAAATAACAACGTGATGAAACTCCCTAGAAAACATCTTTTCCATGACACTGACTAAGAGGGATCTTCCCTCAGCTATGACTCCAAGGAAAGTTGTGACTGCTGGAAGAAATAATGATTTTACAGGGATGGAAAATACCTTTTTTCCTCAAAGTTTTCATGCAAAAGGTTTGTATCTGTCAGAACTCTTTGAGTTTTAATTAAAAACCGGAAAGTCTGAGGACTGGATTAAAAATATTTTGGAAAAAGAGAATTTTCAAGTCTTAAAGGTGAGAAGTTTTTGTTTTTTTAGCAGCTCTATCCAAAAAACTACTTCGTTCTTTTAACATCTGAAGACATTCTGGGTGAAAAATGTGAGGAGTTACAGAAGGAAGGTTTTTTGATGGAAAACTAGGAATCCTATGTAAATAAGGATTGTGTTCACAGAATCACAGAATATGTCAGGCTGTAAGGAACCGAATAAAATTAATTCAGCTTTTCTCTCTCACATTTTTCTTTAAATTCTGAATCCTTTTGATATGGAGAAACCTCCAGAAGTATAAGCTGGATTTGCATGTTCTTTCTTCTGTTTATTTGCAGAAATGAAATCTGGGTGACAAGCATTAAAAGTGACAAATTAGTAAAGAAAACAACCCAATGTTCCTTCCACTCTCTATAAATAAATCCCGGGGATATGGAAAGGAAATCTGTGAAATCATTCACTGTAAATATAAGTTTAGGGCAGTGAACAGAAAGGAAAATTTAGATATAATCCAGCATATGCCCATTGACAGGTCTCCATGGGAAGATCTCCGCGTTAAGCAGAACCAGCTTTGATGGGAATTCACCACAAATGACACCCTAACATATGTTAAAATATAAATTAATGCAGCAGAAATAGAGACAGAAAATCTCTGTGACACCAGATTTTCCCAAATCCTCTTCTCTTCACTGATTAATATGTTAATTATGGAGTGAGAACACCACAGCAGTGAATAATGTTTCTATAATGTGCCAAATCATCACCTGCTCCATCCCTGGAACTGTCCAAAGCCAGATTGGACAGGGTTTGGAGCAACCTGGTCTAGTGGGAGGTGTCCCTACCCAAGGCAAAGGGTTGGAACAAGGTGATCCTTAAGGTCCCTTCCAACCCAACCATTCTGTGATTTTCCAGTGTACCAATTGCTAATTCCACCACATTTAGGGAAGACAGTTGGATTCAGAGGTCAGTGCCACTCCAGGACCACCGGGATGCACAAAACCCAAGGGCAGGGTCTTTGAGGAGCAACATTGGAACAACTGATGGTGCTGCCCAGGGAACTGCTCAGGAAACTGGGGTGGGGAATTCAGGAAAAAATTCTTATTGGAAAGGGTTGTTAAGCAATGGGATAGACTTCCCAGGGAGGTGGTGGAGTCCCCAGCCCTGGAGGTGTCCGAGGAAGGACTGGACGCGGCACTCAGTGCTCTGGGCTGGGTGACGAGGTGGGGATGGGGCACAGGTTGGATTTGATGACCTTGGAGGTCTTTTCCCACCTCAATGATTCTGGGATTCTGTGAGTTGGGTTCCTGATGGCCACATTAAAATTCCCCAGAGCCAACACCAAGAAAAACTCATGGATTTTATTGTGACAGAGCTACAGGAAAAGCAAGACCATGGGGAAAATGGCCACAGTATTTACTTTTCTCATAAAATATTTCAGTACCAACATCTTTTTCAGATGAAATATAAAACTTTGAGGGCTTTGGTAGAAGACTGAAAAATGTCAAGTGATAATTTGGGATTGGACTGAAGGGGAAGGAGGGGCTGTTTGCTTTGTTCTTAAAAAAAAAAAAAAGGCAAATCCCCTGAAAGGAGACATTTCTCATAGAAATATCACTGCTTTGAAACCAGTCAAAGGAGCTGCTTTTTGTGAGATAAATATTGAGATCAGCTTGAAACTGAGTTTGAACAGTGAGTCCAAGACCTGCTGAGCCACTGGAGGTTCAGTGACTCATGTGCCACCCAAGAGAAACCCCATAGTGGGCTGGTTGGGCTTTGAGCAACCTGGGATAGTGGAAGGTGTCCCTGCCCATGGCAGAGGGCTTGGAATGAGATGAATTTTAAGGTCCTTTTCAACCCAAACCAGCCTGTGATTATAAAAACAACCCACTGGAGGAGAGATGTGCAGCCTTTGCTCTCCAGGGCTGCAGCACAGTCTGCTCTTAGGGTTTTAAAAATATGTATTATGGTTTCATACCTGAAGCTTCCCCCTGCTCCTGGAAATGGGGAAAGGATTTCTCCTTCCCAGGGATTGCTCCCATGTCTTTATTTCCTTTGTCTCCAAATCTACTTACAGAGGAGGGAGAGCAAAATTATGGGCTTAACCTTGACCCCATAATGTCTGGCTGTCATCTTCAGTTAGTGGTTAATGCAGAGCCTTTGTTGTAAGAGAGTTTTAATTAACTTATTTAAACCCAGATATTTAAACCCAGCTCTCTGGAGACCCTGCTCTGTGTGCACTAAACAGGTCAGTTCTCAGCCTCCTCCTCAGAGCAGAAAACAGCCTGAATTGCCTCAAATCCTGGAATCAGTTTTGGGCCCCTCAGGACAAGAGAGACATTGAGGGACTGGAGGGTGTCCAGGGAAGGGAACAGAGCTGGGGAAGGATCTGGAGCACCAGGAGCAGCTGAGGAAGCTGGGGGGGCTCAGCCTGGAGAAAAGGAGGCTCTCTACCCTTCTTGCTCTCTACAACTCCCTGACAGGAGGGGGGAGCCAAGGGGGGGGGTCGGGCTCTGCTCCCAGGGAACAAGGGACAGGATGAGAGGAAACGGCCTCAAGTTGCACCGAGGAAGGTTGATATTGGAATTAAGAACAATTTCTTCACTGAAAGGGTTTTCCAGCCCTGGCCCAGCTGCCCAGGGCAGTGGTGGAGTCCCCATCCATGGAGGGATTTAAAAGTCATGTAGATTTGGCACTTGGGGACGTTGGTTAGTGGTGGCCTTGGCAGTCCTGGGTTAATTGTTGGACTCGATGATCCTGGAGGTCTTTTTCAACCTTAATGATTCTATAATTCCATATTTCCATGTGATGTTTATCTGTAGCACATGAGCCTTTGATTGAGTAGCTGCAGTTCAGCTATTTCTCATGTGACCAGTGTAGAGTTTCCCCAGTTTTGCTGACCTAGAACACACAAAAAATGGACATTACCCTCTCTTCTCTTTTCATCACAGAAAAGATTCATTTTCCAGACGGTTGCAATATCATTCCTGATTTTTTTCCATGCCCTGTAAGCTCTGAAAATGCAAAGGATATCCAGGAAAGCTGCCATAGTTCACTTGTGTGGGATGAAATGGTAGAGAAAAAGGTATTTAAAAATGAGAGCAGAAGTTGTGGGGGATGGGAGGTCTTGAAAGGACTGGAACTGATTCCTCTCCTGGCTCTTAACTGAGATCTGAAAAATCTCTGTGGGTTAATGAGGAGCAGTCACGTTGAAATGTCCCTTATGTACATGACAATCTAAGACACCACCTCTCTGGAGAAAAATATTAAGAGATATCAATGTCCAGTGTCTGAAAATCACAAAGGAAGAGACATTTTCATGGAGACTGAAGAGCAAGAAGGAGTTTTCTGGATGGTGAAAGTCTTAAAAATGTGTTGGATACCTAAACAGGCTACAAAGAGAGAAACTATGGAAGAAACAATTGGAAGAGAGGGTAAAAGAGAAAAATTAAGGAAGAAAAGAGAAAAATTAAGGAATAGAAAAATTAAGAAACAACTGGAAGAGAGTGTTTAATTCCCAGCTACTTCAAACCGTCATCCCAGCACCTGGTTGACCAGCAACAGCATCCTTTTCTCTAATTAATTTACTTTCAAAGATCAATTAATTGATGTTAGATCCCGGTTTGGTTGGCTTTGATCCTTTAATTGCCTCTCTTTATGTCATGAAAATGTAGCTTTGCTTTCTTCAGACATCTCCCTTCAAGACTCACATTTGGTACAGGATGTTTATATTATATATATGTTTTATTTATATTTAGCACAGGCTTAGTGGGATTGTAATGGGGAGGTGTCACTTAAAATACTCTGGGCTAATCAGAATCTGTGTTTTGGACCATGTCTTGAGTTTTTTGGGGGTTATTTTATCTGTTCCTTACATAAGAAAGGTCTAAAGACAGAGATCTCGGGATGGATGGCCCAGACTTGTCACTTTATGTCACCAAAGTCCACCAAAAATCCATATTCCTCTGAATGCTCAACTCACACTGTCAAAAAATCATCTGAATTGAGACAAGAAGGCAAATTTCCAAGCCTGTAACAAGTGTTATTTGTGTTAACTTCTCCTGCACCACTACTCAAATCCTCTCAAAAATCCTAAAAATAAACGTAGAGAACTCAGATGTGTCACAGGAGGAGTTGATAAAACAGGTATGTAAAAGCCTTTTTTGGAACAAAGGGAACAATCCAGAGGGCAGATCCATGGAGAATGGCCCGGGAAACGAGATAAGCTTGGAAGTTCCCAAAATCTTTTCCTCAGGAAGGCTCAGGAATTGATTGTTGTGGGAAGAACAACAACATTCCTACGTAAGTGGATCAGGATGGACCCAGGTGGAACTGCCCATTTCTTATGGCAAAACCTGGGATAACTGACCGCAGGAAGTAATGGAGTCATGGAATATCCTGAGTTGGAAGGACCCACAAGGATCATCAAGTCCAACTCCTGGCCCTGCACAGACACCCCAACAACCCCACCCTGTCCCTGAGAGCGTTGTCCAAATTCTCCTGGAGCTCTGGCAGGTTTGGGGCTGTGCCCATTCCCTGAGGAGACTGTTCAGTGCCCAACCACCCTCTGGAGGAACAACCTTTTCCTTTCTATCTCTGTGAATTTTATTATCAGAGTCCAGCTTTGATTTCCCTGGTGCTTTGATCACTCTCATCCTTCCAAAATAATTTTCCAAGCTGTGTCCCTGTGAAAGCTGAGAGATCTCATTCCCTCCTTCCCAATGAAGAGCTGATGGGGGTAGGAGGTCCTACTGACACATTGATTTTTCCTCACCAAAAATAGTGAATTTGCCTAATTTTTTTAACCTGTGGCTCATGGAATTGTCACCTCAGGCTTTTATATTTGTTCAGGGAGAGGAATCCAGCCCAAAGTCACCGTAAGAATTCACGGAGCATGTGAAACCAGACCAATCACAGGGGTAGAACTGAGCCTAAATGCTGCATATTTTTCATTCTCCCAGCCCAAAAAATCAATAATCCATATCTGAAAATATTAGGAGGGTTTTATTTCATCAACAAATGGCGGGTTCTTCTTGCAGATGCAATATTTTAGGTTAATTCATCCACCATCAGCAGGATTTCTACTCCCTGCTCTCTCTCACTCTCAAGAATTTTAACACTTCCTAGTGTCTGTATTTATAATTTTTATTTATCAGGGTTGACTGAATTCAAATCTCCCTAAAATTCTTTTGGGCAACTAGAAAAATGGTGAAGTTTCCAAACAACAATCATTTTGCATTTCTCGTTTTCTTAACATCTGGCAGCTGGGGAAGCAGCACTCCCTCCATATCTCCCTCAAAGATGTCAAGAACAATCTTTTTTATATTTTTGGGTTCTTTTTTTTTTCTATTAATAGAGACAAAAAAGAGTTCAGTAACCGTAATTTCTTGCCTGGTTTATTCCAAGGACCAATTTAACCTGAGTGTCTCAGTTTGTGTTCGCATCTATTCATATCCTTCTGTTCTGCTTTGAACTCTACCGGGAGAGATCTGTGGAAACATCCATTGCATCCTGGCAATTTCCCGCTCTGGGAATTCCTTGGAATGGTTCAGAATGGTGTAATATTCCTGAGCATGTTGCTCTAATCCCACAGAACCAGAGAGAGGCACCTGCCAGCAGGTGGGATTCCCTGTTTGCTGGAGTGTTTATTAGCTGGCACTTTTCCTAGACTGTCTATATTTAATTCAGGATGTTCTCCTTCAGTTCACTGGCGTGAAATAAAGTCCACAAAGCATCAGGACACAAAGAGAAATGTAGAACTTTGTTTTCTGCAAATAACCACCCTCATTTGTGCATTTTGGGGAGCACTGGGTGCTCTGAAAGCAACAAAACCCAGGTAGAGCTGGTAAACCAAGGTATCTTGGGGTGCAACAATTGTGGGTTTGCTGCTGTGGACCCAAAATTGTCACTCAGTGGTAACACCCAGCAGTGCCAATGACACACAAAGAAGAGGAAACACAACTGAGATCACTAAAAATAACACTCTCCTGTAAATGCCAGACTTATTGCCTTTGTAGGAAGGACAAAACAAGTCTCTGAAGGCACTATCCTTCTCAGGTGTCTGGGCAAAGCAACCAGTGGGATATTTTTGTTTGGTTTGATGTTTGTTTGGAGTAAAACCAAACTGGAACAGGAAAACTGCTGCTTGTTTTGACAGTGGCTTGATTAGAGAGAGGCACAAGGAATAGATCCTTCTTTGGGCAGATTAAATCCTGTTACTTGTGGGAAGTTGCCAGAATAAAATAGTTTGGCTTCAAAAAGAAGACTTCATGAAGGCCAGGTCCCACAGAACATTTTGGGGGAGGCACTGGAACAGGTTTCCCAGAGGAGTTGTGGGTGCCCCATCCCTGGAAGTGTCCAAGGCCAGGTTGGATGGAGCTCTGAGCAACCTGAGGTTGTGAAAGGGAGTGAAAGGTGTCCCTGCCCAGGGCAGGGGGTTGGAACTGGCTGATCTTGAAGGTCCCCTCCAACTTAAACTCTTCTATGATTCCAGGATCTTAATCTAGGGAAGGGCACACAACAGCAAATCCCAGTCTGTGATGGTCCATCCTGTTCCATTCTGGGATGTTTGGCCTCTGCCAACGGGAATTCAGCCAGGACAAACCCCACATGTGGTTTGGAGAACAGCACAGGCCAAGGACTATGTCCAGTAGATATTTTGGATACAGTAAACTTCTTTTGGGAGTTTGGGAATGCAGGTACAAGCTGAGCTGAGCAGTGTCCTGAGGGACTGGAAAGAATCCTGGCAGATACAACCTTGTGTTCAGAGGTACAGTTGTCTCCCCCTTTCCATGTGTTTGCCTTTACAATACACCAGTTTACAGGGAGAAGTCTCCTTTTCAGGAATGTAGGTGGAGGTTTATCTGATTTTTATGAGTTTTTCATATCATTATAACTCATTTCAATGGATTCCTAAATAAATCCTCTGGTTTTGGCACTTCCCAAGGCTGTAGAGTGTTTTTCAGTTCCCATAACCCTGACACAAGCTCTGACTCTTTGTTTCCAGGGTTTTCTGAGAAGGGGACACCAAGGATTCAGAGAAGGCTTCTCCAAGCCAGCAGCCAAGAGGCAGATTCCAAAACTGAGGAGTTGCATCTCCTTGACTCCCAGGTTGTTCTGCTCCATTGGTCTGGGATGGTTTGAAGTTCCCTGCTCAGCCAGATGCTGCTTTTTAAAGATTTCCATTTGGAGCTTAAAAATATTGGAATGTTGAAGTGAGGGCTGGGAAGCAAAATCAGTTCCCAAAAGTCAGCAAAAAAGTCATAGAGGGGAGGAAAGGGAAAGAGAGGAAGGGAGGAGGGAAGTGAGGAAGGAGGGATAGAATGAAAGAAGAGAGCAAGGAGGGAAGGAAGGAGGAAAGGAGGGAAGGAGGGAAGGAAGGAAAAAGGAAGAAAAAAGAAAGAAAGAGAAAGAAAGAAAGAGAAAGAAAGGAAGAAAGAAAGAAAGAGAAAGAAAGGAAGAAAGAAAAAGAAAGGAAGAGAGAGAAAGAAAGGAAGCAAGAAAGAGAAAGAAAGAGAAAGAAAGAAAGAGAAAAGAAGAAAGAAAGAAAGAAAGAAAAAATAGAAAGAAAAAGAAAGAAAAAAAGGAAGAAAGAAAGGAAGAGAAAGAAAGAAAGGCTGCCTCCATAATCCTGCAGGAACCAAAGCAATTACTCCAGGGAATCATTTTTTTTCTATTAGACCAAAGGGCAAATTTCACCTGCTGGTGTCTCCCAGGGGCTGGGGCATGAAAAAAATGAGCCTCTGCTACAACACAAGCGAAATTAAATAAAGAAAAAGCAAAGCTCACAAAAATCTACCAATTAAAGAGTCAACACAAATGTACTGAGCAATTCAAATGGAGATATTTATATAAATAAACTCACAAACACATAAATTTTTCTATAAGTAAACAGTGGAAGGTGTCCCTCAGGTTGGAACTGGATGATCTTTAAGGTCCCTTCCTACCCAAACCACTCTGTGATTCTACAAAGTTTTAGGCTCAGGCCAGTTTGGAGAGACCCTTCAGTGCCAGTGTGATGGGGCCTGGGTCAGAGAGAGCTTTGAAGTGGATTTTACCCAAAATTTGAATTAAAGTGAGCACAAGAATCCCACAGATCTGTCTTTGAATCTGTAAATATTTTCTTTTGGGAACTCCAGCTACATAAACATGTTGTTTCAAGAGAGGTCTTTGGGTGTGCTGGGGAAAAGGAGAAAAAAATATTTTAAAGCAAAGTTATTCTTTGATTATTGTCTTAGAAAACAGATCCATTTCTCCCATCATTAGTCCAGCACTTTCCAGGGTTTTCTGCCTTGCAACAAAACTGCATTTTGGGGTCTCTGAGGAAAAGCCTCTTCTCTTCTATATTTCATGAGGTTTGGTCACACATTTCTATGAGTTCCCCTGTTTTCTGACTTTCACACCTGACCAAGTGTCCCCTGTTTTATCTCTGTTTTCAACATGTAGCTGGAAGTGGAAGGTTCCCTTGTCAAAGAGCTCAGCATAAAATCAATCAAACAAACTGCTTTTCTTCCAACTTCTTTGCCCAAAACTTCCTAAGAACCATACGCACAATGAAGAAAAAAAAAGGAAGAGAGGAATTGCTTTTTCACAACAGGGACTCATAACCTTCTTTAACATAACAACCAGCAATTTTTTCAGAACAATTTTTGCAGTGGTTTTTTTTTTTTTTTTAGTGTTGCTACAGTGGCTTTGGGTTTTTAGACACTTAAAAATAAGTATCAGTTTTAACTATTTATGTCCTGGTTGATATCACACAGTTTTGGCTTATTCACTGTCAGGCAGGGTGGGGGGTTGTCTCTTTTCCCAATTGACGGGTTTTCTTGTAATTATTTCTCAAGTAAAATTTCATGGTTTTGCAGAAAAAAAGATTGTGGTTGACAACTTGTGGTTAAGAACTGGCTGATGGTCGAGCCCAGAGAGTAGTGGGGAACTGCATCCAGTTGGGATCCAGTCACCAGTGGTGTCCCCAGGGATCAGTGCTGAGTCCAGTCCTGTTTAATGTCTTTAACGATGATCTAAATGAGGGGACTGAGTCCATCATCAGCAAATTATTCTTAATGAAATTCCTGGAATTGCGTTTATCTGGGATGCAGTTGCCCGAAATGGATTGAATTAGGGCAAGTTGAAGGAAAAACCCACTGAAAATGGGCTGGGGTTAAGTTGCACTGAATTTTGGTGAATTTATTGGCACAAGGAGTTGCATTTCCACTGAAGCAAGGACAGGGAGGCAAGGAGTGCAAAATGAGGGCTGAAGGGAAGGCATCAGGGAAAGCAGGAAGCTGGAAGCATCAGTCCCACCTGGTGGATGAGGAGAAGGCTGTGGATGTGTCTATCTGGATTCCACCAAAGCCTTTGGCACCGTCTCCCATGGGATAGTCCTGGAAAAGCTGCAGCCCACGGCTTGGACAGGGGCACTCTGTGCTGGGTTAGGAACTGGCTGATGGCTGGGCGGGGAATGGAGCTGCATCCAGTTGGGATCCGGTTACTAGTGGTGTCCCCAGTGCTGGGCCCAGTTCTGTTTAATGTCTTTATTGATGATCTGGACGAGGGGATCGAGTGAACCATCAGCAAATTTGCAGATGACACCAAGCTGGAGGGGAGTGTTGATCTGCTGGAAGACAGGAGGGCTCTGCAGAGGGACCTGGACAGGCTGGAGAGTTGGGCTGATTCCAATGGGATGAGGTTCAACAAAGCCAAGTGCCAGGTCCTGCACTTTGGCCACAACAACCCCCGGCAGCTCCAGGCTGGGACATAGTGGCTGGAGAGCAGCCAGGCAGGAAGGGACCTGGGAGTGTGGATGGACAGGAAGCTGAACAGGAGCCAGAGTGTGCCCAGGTGGCCAAGAAGGCCAATGGATCCTGGTCTGGATCAGGAACAGTGTGGCAGCAGGAGCAGGGAAGGGATTCTCCCCTGGACTCAGCACTGGTGAGGCCTCACCTCGAGTGCTGTGTCCAGTTCTGGGCCCTCAGCTCAGGAAGGACATGGAGGGGCTGGAGCAGGTGCAGAGAAGAGCAACGAGGCTGGGGAAGGGTCTGGAGCACAAGTGTTGTGAGGAGAGGCTGAGGGAGCTGGGGGGCCTCACCTTCCCAACACTGGCCTGAGTTACCCTTCTCGTCCCTCTTGAAGATAGGAGGGATATTTGCCTCCCTCTGCTCCCAGGAACCTTCCTTGACCACCACAACCTTTCAAAGGTAAGTGAGTTGACCTTGCAATGACATCAGTAGCCACAGATTCATCCTGCCATGGCCCATGAGTTCTACATGTCTGGTTTGTCTTAGTGTTCCCCAACTTGATTCCTCCTCCACTAAGGATAAATATTCCTTGCTCTGGTCCAGGAATTTCTGAATGCTGATCTTATCAGTAAAGACTTAAGTGAAGAAGACCTTGAGTACCTGGGCCATTTCCATGTTCTTTGTCACGATAATTCCTACCCTGTTGAGCAGCAGGTCCTCATTTTTCCTACTCTTCCCATTAATATGCCTGTAGAAAATTGTCTTGTTGTCCCTCACCAGATTTAATTCCATATGGGCTTTGATTCCCTGCTCCAGCCTCATCCATCAGCTCTTTTTTATTGGTTTCTTCTGCAGATGGAGCCACATGGAGATCTCCAACACAGGGGAACATCACCCCAGTGCCAGAGTTCACATTTGTTGGCCCACCTCACCAGGCTTTTGGCAGCTCTGCCAGGTTCCACCACATATGGAGTCTTGTTCCATGGGAAAACATGGCATTGTTTTGTCCCAGTAAAGGCAGGAATCCTGACTTCAGGGAATTTGGAGGCAGACTACTTTTTGATGTATCCCACCAAGAGGTCACAGACTTCAAGAAGAAAGGAAAGACATGGGATAAGGGTTGGAATTTATGTTCCACCATGGGATGGAATTACAAGAGTGGTTTCTTCTGGATGAATGTTCATATAAAGACCTGCTGGGGTTTAAGACACCTCAGATACAACAAGAAAGAAACCTGTGCCACCCTAAATCCCAAAAATAGGGTTCTCAGGCAGGGGAAAGGTTGGGAAGTTGAAAGGGCAGGATATTTCCCTTGGTTTTCTTTTTAAATGTCTTGTTAAAAAGAAGCTCTGCTCCATATTTTTAGGGGGATAAAGATTCCCTTGTCAGGACTTCAAGGCTCAGTCACAGCCTTGGGCTCTGTCTGGGGCTTCTCAGAGTCCATTTGATGGGTTGTCCCTGGAAATCACTTTCCCTTCACCAATGATTTCACTTGCAGGCCCCTTTCCTATATAATAATCATAATTCCTGAATCCCTGACCTTTACTCTTTCCAAGATTCAATTCCCCCACTCCATGAGGAGCCAAAAGGGTCTTTCTTTTGCTTCTCCCAGGAATTCTGCTTTCCCAGGATATCATTTCCCAGTATAACTTCTGTGACTTCTATCAAGGGACTGTTAACACCTCTGCTTTGGAAAGTCACTGAATTTAAGATTCTTGAACACTAGTTATAAGTTCCTCATGGTTTTTTTTCCCAGTGTTTATATTTCTCCTGGATATCTGCAGTTGCTCATTGGATCCTGGAGACAGGATTCTATTCCCAGATAACTCTTATATTTTGTAGTATCCAGATCTTGGATGACAGGCTGGAAAGACATGTTAAATATCATAACAACAATGCTACAATGCATATGTAATATTCACAGACACACACAGAGGCACATTCAAGTTCAATTCAGAGAGATTTCCCGAAGGAAAAATCATTTCCTTATACTCTGATTTATTCTGATGCCTTATTCCTTTCCATCTCCATTCATCAAGGCCTGAATGGGATACCAGCTTTAATAGCTGCTAATTAGCAATATAAACCATCCACCCTGCAAATCAACGCCAGAATAACACTGAAAAGGGAAAAAAAAACCCCATGTCATAATAACAGTTGGATTCAATGATTGAAAGGGGGGAAAATGCAGTTGGATTCTTAATGTTGAGAGCAATTAAGAGAGAAAGGAAAAATTACTGATTTTCTCATGTGAATTTGAAGCAATTAAGAAGGGCACAAAATAAACCTCGGGACTTGAATCCCTCTGACTTCCTCGTGTCAGCTCCTCGCTGTGCTTCAGGAGCTGAAGCAGAGCTGTGTGTGTGTTTATTGGCAGCTCCTGTTTGGTTTCGTACTGGAACGGGAAAGCAAAGCTCCGACTTCCACGGATTTCCCACAAGGACAACTGGGAAGAGGAGCCACGTTCTGGATTCGGCTCCTGGCCGTCGTTTCAGTGGGTGCAGCTGTTTTGCTTTTGCCTGGAGGGTTGGCGTGTGCTAATTGGGCAAAGAACAGTAATTAGTCAGTGTGTGTGGGAGGTGATTTGTCTGGATCCCACCACGGAGCCTCCCAGAAGGCACGGATGCTCCAAGGGATGATATGAACACCCTTTAATTGGCTGGACAACTGGTTCAAAGAGCAGTTCCTGCACTGAAAACACTTCAAATTTGTGGCACCTTCCTCCCCCTCCCCAAATCCTTCCTGCTCTGAGTGGAAGTATTGACATCCATTTGAAAAATAGGAGATTTCCACGGAGATAAAAAAAAGGATCATTTCTGGACATATGAGATTACACATCACAGAGCGACAAAATCACAGATTATGCCAGGTTGGAAGGAACCCACAAGGATCATTGTGTCCAACTCCAGGCCCTGCACCCACTCCCAAGAGTCAAACCATGGGCCCAAGAGTAAATTCATTAGAGAAAAAGACGTTCTAAAATCAACCAACAAGGGAATTTTAAAAAGTTCAAACCTGTGACCTCTCTTGAAAGGGCATCAGTATGAATTTCCAAATGCTGTGGAGCTGAAGAGTGGCACTCACTCAACATGAAACTGTCCCTTTGAGAGGATATAAAAGACCCCCGGAAATCCATTGCTCCAGAGGATTGGCACACACATGTTTGAGGTGAAACACAGCAAGAGGGCAGAGGGGCCCAAAAATGGCTGATTTTCAAGGATCACCTCCTCCAAGCTCAGGAGCAAGGCATCCCAACAGGGAAGAAATCTGGCAAAGGTGCCAGGAGGCCTCCATGGATGGGTTGAGGACATGCTGAGCAAACTCAGAGCAAAAAAAAAAAAGAGGTTTTCAGGAAGTGGAAATGAGGACAGGTGGCCTTGAGCAGTCTGGTCTAGTGGGAGGTATCCCTGGAATTAGATGATCTTTAAGGTCCATTCCAACCCCGTTACATTCCATGATTCTTGGATGCTAAGACTAAAGACAGGGAATGGCTGGAGCTGTGTCGGGGCAGGGTTAGGTTGGATCTCAGGAAAAGGTTCTTCCCCCAGAGGGTGGTTGGGCACTGACCAGGCTCCCCAGGGAAGGGATCACAGCCCCAAATCTGCCAGAGCTCAAAGAGTGTTTGGACAACTCTCTCAGGAACATGGTGGGATTTTTGGATGGTCCTCTGCAGGCCAGGATTTGGACTGGATGACCCTTGTGAGTCCTTTCCAACTCAGGATATTCTACCTGGGAGAGACATTCACAATTATTATCTCAATGCCCAGTGTTCCGAAGATGAACATGTTCATGCCATGTCTTCAATACATCATTTTAAGGGCGAAAACCAAACAATTAATTGAACTTCACTTGGACACCAGGTTGTCCCAAAGTCTTTTGGGCAACAGGGGACACCGCTTTCAGTGTATTTGGACTTCAATCAAAGCAGGGATCAGCTGCTGAGATTATTCTGACTTCAGGAAAGGCACAAAATTCCTGTGAATCCAAAAGTTAAAGCCAACCAGAAAAGGGACAACTGTTTATGTGAAGCATTTCAAGTTGGAGTCCACTTAGAAGGTGTTGGAACAAGCAAAGTCCATGTGTCTGTCTGTGCAGCTCATTTCCCTCAAGAGCTTCAAAAGTCCTCCTGGAACACCTTGCATCAGTTTGTGGGGAGAATCTTCCACCTCATGGGATCATAAAAAAATAGATCCTCCATCAACCAGCTTCTGCAACCCAGATTAGGCAAATATGTTATAAATTTCCTATAAAATTCCTTGTGGAAAGAATCAGTTCCCTATATATGCATGCATAAATATATTTCTGTGTATATATAAATATGTATATGTGTGTATATACATACACACATACATATATATATATTTAAAGTCGGGAAGGCACTGAATAAATTTTTGGGGAGATGGTTTTCTCCTGCAGTGAATGTTTTTTCTGGGGAATTCAACCAATTTCCTTCTCTCCCATCAACTCCCCAGCATTCCCCCTTCATGATCCTGTTTCTCAGGTGTCTCTAAAGTGGACTCAGAGGAGCTCTTGGTGCCCTCCTGCCTTTCCAAGAACCCAGGAATCAGGGTGGGCTCCTGCATAAAGCCTTTTTCTGTGTAATCCTGTTTATTAAAAATTAGTTATTAGTCTGTGGATGATGTTGTTTTCCAAGTCAGTCACTGCAAGCCAGAACTACTTTTTCTATTGTTTCTATTTAAAAACAAACACACACAAAAAAAATGATAAATCATCATCAGATATTCTGTAAAAGCCCAGATATTTCTGGAAAAGGCCAGAGCCCTCCACAAAAAAAAAATAATAATGAAGTGTTTAAAGAAATGTTATATAATGTGAAGGTCTACAATGGAATACATTACATTCTTAGGCAATTCAGGCTATACTTTCCTTCACTTCCCACTGCTCCTAATAATACTCTTTGTTCCACTCTAAGCCAATCTTTCTCCTTCTTTGTTGTTTGTTCCATTCTGCAAAGGCTTGTAGACAGTTCTGGTGCCCTTAGTCATAGATTAGACAAATTGCACATATTGTTTCCTTTTAATCTCATCTCCCTCCTGACTTTTTAAATGCTTGGAGTTGTTCTCCACCATCCTCTGCAGTTTACCGACACTGCCTTGATATTTTGATGTGCTCAACGAGCACGATTCCGCAGTGGGAGTCAGGTACATGCTCAATCCTGGCTGCTCAGCAGCATTTTGGAGAAGAAACATCTCATTCCTGATTGCACCAGAACATGTGATTTTGACAGAGCTGTTGCAAAGAGATATTCTAATTAAAGGCAAGGCTCGGCCTCTTCTGCCATGAAATTAATGGTAGGACGAGGGAAAAGGGCCTCAAGTTGTGCCAGGGGAGGTTCAGATTGGATTTTGGGAAGCAAATATTCACTGAAAGAGTGGTTGAACACTGGAACAGATGGCCCAGGGCAGTGCTGGAGTCACCAGCCCTGACCATGACACAGGAACAGCCTTCGTGGGTTTGTGTTCACATTCTTTCCTTCCACAAAGCGATGTCTTTGGTCAAAAGGAAGACTTCATTTTTTCACTTGAAGCTTGAAATTCATCACTGACATCAGCTCTGGACTCCTAATTTCTCTTCCCCTCAGCAGGAAAGGTCCTTTGGTGCTGGTATCTAATGGGAGGTGCCATCTGAGACTGCACAAAGTGCTGCTGGGTTGTATTAATTAACAAAATAAAGATGGGATGATTCATCTGGTCTGATTTCCTTGTCCTTCAAGACAAACTGCTTTTCCTGCTCTTTTTGTGCACCTCACTTTGCTGGACTCCTCTCTTTGCCTGGGAGGCACAAGAGCCTCAAGGACTTGCCACTGGTTTGGAAAATGAGTGGTGGGAGAAATCCAGGCCCTGGGGTTTGATTGCAATGACCAAAAAAGAGCTTGTGAAAGAGCAAGCAAGCAGTCACTGCTCTGACAGAAGAGGGTAATATTTCCACTACCAGCAGCACATTGACACTGCAATGCTGTATAAAAGACTATCCATAAAAGACATCATCTCAAAG